ATTCCTGGCTTACATCAGTGACATGCATTGAACCTGTGGCGGTGATATACCTCATTTGGGCCATGGCCTCACGTAACCCAAGCACATGGAGCGATATATTCCTTCCTGAGGCATTTCCGCCAAAAGCCTTACCCGTACTAGTGGAACTTTGTAGCTGGGTGTAAAGAGCTCATGCTATTGAGGGAGTTTGTCTCTAAGTGGATTTAGCCAATGATATGGGCAGATGAAATTATTATGATCAGGTTATTCTTTCTTTTCTCTGTCCACAACATTTGCTTAGTATGTGGAAAACTTGTCAGAAGAAGTATCTTCCATTGAGTCTTGATTTTCAGTTACCAAACCTGCAACATTGTCCACTGCACTTTTTGTTTCCTCTGCCATGATGCTGTTATTTTGTACTGCTGGAATCACAGAATGGCAGGGGTTGGAAGGGACTTCTGGAGATCATCTAGTCCAACCCCCTTGCCAAAGCAGGGTCACCTAGAGCAGGTTGGACAGGAACGCATCCAGAGAAGGAGACTCCACAGCCTATGCCAGAGTAATTTTCCTCATGTTGAGATGGAATTTCCCACATTCCAGTTTGTGCCCATTGCCCCTTGTCCTGTCGCTGAGCACCACTGAAAAGAGTCTGGCCCCATCTTCTTGCCACCCACCCTTTAGATACTGATCAGCATTCATGAGATCCCCTTTCATTCTTCTCTTCTCCAGGCTGAACAGCCCCAGTGCTCTCAGCCTTTCCTCATCAGAGGGGTGCTCCAGTCCCCTGAGCATCTTCGTAGCCTTCCGCTGGTCTTTCCAGTAGTTCCCTGTCTTTCTTGAACCAGGGAGCCCAGAACTGGACACAGTACTCCAGATGTGGCTTCAACCAGGGCAGAGTAGAGGGGGAGGATGACCTCTCTCGACCTGCTGGCCATGTTCTTTTTAATGCACCCCAGGAGACCATCGGCCTTCTTGGCCACAAGGGCACATTGCTGCCTCATGGTCAACTTGTCCACCAGGACTCCCAGGTCCCTCTCTGCAGAGCTGCTCTCCAGGAGGTCAGCCCCTAACCTGTACTGGTGCACGGGGTTATTCCTCCCCAGGTGCAGGACCCTACACTTGCCCTTGTTGAGCTTCATTAGGTTCCTCTCCGCCCAACTCTCCAGCCTGTCCAGGTCATGCTGAATGGTGACACAGCCTCCTGGTGTGTCAGCCACCCCTCCCAGTTTTGTGTCACCAGCAAACTTGCTGATGGTACACTCTGTCCCCTCACCCAGCTCACTGATGAATATGTGGAATAAGACTGGACCCAGTACTGAGCTCTGGAGAACACCACTGGTTACCAGCCTCCAACTGCAGGAAGTCAATGGAGAATCTGCTCTCAGATCTGTCAGAGGAGTAGAGAAACATTGCTGCAAATAAATCTCAGTTTTTGCAAAGTAAAATGAACATGTGTGAGCTACAAGCCCTTTGCACTCTGGTCTGTTGTTTTTACCTAATGCCATCCTGGACGGTGGAGCTATGTTGTTGGAGCGATGCCGATGAGGGCACATTGTTTTCTTAAAAGAAAAACAAAACACTAAACCACAAATTCATATGAAGCAATTCTCTGTGGAGCTCACTTCTGACAGAAATGCAATATTGCAATAATACAACAAGTGTCTTGAGAGCTCAGCGCTTCCTGCCCTGCATGTGGCTGAAGCACAGGAAGACATAGGGTTCTTGCCATATCAAATGGGTTTTGGCTTCTGTCCAAAGAGGCATTGCTGGGAAGTCTGACATCACAGCACAAGTTGGCATGGTGGTGGGGAAATGCCTCCTTAATTTTCCAGTGCGGCACTAAGCCAGTAAACTTTCTTGTTATTCCTTTCATAGTTATCTTAAAGACTATTTTTTTTTTTTCCCCTCTTGCAGAATTTCCTACAATGAAGCAGTGGAAATTTTGAAGCAAGCTTCTCAAACTTTCACTTTCAGGCCAGAGGTAGGTAGTTGCCTGGTGCCTTGTCCCCTGTGCCTGTTCGTGTGCGCAGCCAGCCTGAACTTTGCAGATCTCCTTTCTCTCCTTCTGATACCGCAAGAGTTGTTAATTCGCACAGTTCTCTGCCTCCTGGCGTGCTTGCTCAGTTGTAACCCAGGTATAACTTAAGCCCTTTGGGGTTGAAATGGGAGCAATAGAAGGAGTGAAATCTGTAGCAGGAGAACATGTAACATTTGCAGGGAAGTGATGAGTTTGCTGTTGAAGGAGCAAGGCTTTAGCAAAGGCGCTTCTCTTTCTTGTATGTGAGCGGTGCCCAGGGTGTTGTGGATTCAGTAGTGATCATTTAAGGAGAGTTGCTGCAATAGTCCTCAAATAAATGATAATTAGGATATCATCAAAAGTTTGACAAGGACTAATAAGCCAAAACCATGTCAAAATACCACGTATTCTAGATGTAGGTAAAAGGAATCCGTTGTCTTTGCAAAGCATAGATGTTGACTGGGAATAAGAATCGCACACTAAGTCTTTCTAACACTGTTAGAATATGGTTTCCTTAAAGTCATGTTTAGCCCAATTTCAAACACACACACCAGTAGGGAGAGCATTTTCTGGTGGTGCTCATCTCATGTCTGTACTGATTAATCTTTATCTCGTTCTGACGCTTTCAGGAAAATAACCCTCTGGCTGAAGCCACCTTCAGCTGTCTCATCTCTGTGTACAAGTGGGTGTAGAACCTCACATCCTGTATCTGTACTACCTTGATCTCAGACAGCAAACTCAGGGTATTTTCAGATGAGGAGAGTCTGCAGACTCCCCTCTTCCCCTTCCACTCCCCCAATATTCTTTGCACACCCTATAATGGACTGGAGGTCTCCAGTTATAACATCGCTGGAAGAAAGGAGAAGTGAAGGACATTGCAAATTTCCAACGCTTCTGAAAACAAAGAATTAGGTAATAGGATGCTGGGTTTTCTTAAGTGAGAATTAATGTAGCATGTAATGGGACACAGCAGGGAAGAGAGCGGTCAGCCCGGCAAAGCTGCTTTCTGTATACCGAAGGTAGTACTGAAATAAGGCGGGTTTGCTGGGTTGAGGAAGCTGACTTTGGATAGGTGCCTATTTCCCTTAAGCTATGCGGAGTGTGGTTTTGGATTTGGTTTCTTTTGTTTGTTTGGGGTTTTTTTTCTGATTTGATACCAGATGCTTGGGCTTGATGCAGGGGTGATCTGGCCCTGCTCTGTGAAAGTAAAACCATATTATGTTCATTGCTTTGCTCTGCCTTAAAACTTGTGAAACTCTTGTCTGCTTAGCAAATTTTCCCAGTGACCTGTGTGAGAAGTTGCTGTCCTTGGTTTCATGTTATTCAAAGGTGCACGTCTTTCCTACGCAGGGATTTTGCTGTGTCTCTTGCTGCAGGCAAGATGCACCAAAGCAGCATCCCAAGTCCCTTTTGCTGTCTTTACAGTGGGGCTGTGACCTCCAAACAGAACATGAAAAGTACCTGGTGAAGCACTGTGGTGAAGTTCCCGTGTTTGTGATTAACTACCCATATGACCTCAAACCTTTCTACATGCGGGACAATGAAGATGGACCTCAACACACAGTGAGTCCATAGGTCACACTTCCACCTCTTTTTTTGGCTGGGGATGTGTCTTAGCTTGCTGAGAGAGAGACAGATGAGGATAGTCTTCTCCTGGGCCTCTGGTCCGGAATTCCAAGATAAGACATGACCATCAGGTGATCCTGTTCAGTGGTTTTCCTGTTGTAGAAATAATCCCCAAAGCAGGAACAACAGGAGGAGGATTCAGGAGTTGGGTAGCATTAAGTTTTTGCTTAAGTTCTTTAAGACAGATTTGCTGTAGTTTATTTCTTTTGCTGGTAGACTTCTGTACTACTAGGTAAAATACCTACAATTGCATGGCTCTAAGCAGCCTGTGATTCTCTTGTCATCCAAATCTACCATCTGTGTAATCCTCAAGCAGCAGATGGACACAAGACATAAACTCTTCCTCCACAAGTCTCATGCTTTGAAGGTGTGAATTCCCAATTGAACTGAGACAGCCTGAAACATTGCTTTTACTACAAAGAGCTACTACCCCACCGTGTGCCACTGTCACTTCACAGTTCAGTTGTGGGATAAGAGAAGTACCTCTACAAAACAAAACAGAGAGGAAAACCAGCCCAAACCTAACAGCATAGGTGATAACACTGGAATCCGAACACTTGGATCAGCACATCAGTGCCATTGATCCACTGGTACCATTACGATAGAGCTGGCTCAAGGAATGGGGGCAAACGGGGTAAACAGAAGTTACAAGCACCAGAGCAGCTTAAACTCTAAGGGAATCAGGGCTTCGGGGAAGTTGCCCGTGTGTCTTTGCTTCCTTGTGAGCTGCTCTTGGGTTCTTTATACCCTGCACAGGCTTGCCTACATGCACAGGTTGTCACCAGAGTAACCTGGTGGGATTCAGTTCACACCACCTGCTGTAGGAGTGCTCAGTCTGGAACATCACTGCACTTGTTTAGGTCTTCTGTAGGCTTACTGATTTTTATCATTGTAGCGTTCCCTCCCAGCCTTCTCCTGTCAACAAGGGACTTTTCAAGCATTTGCAAATACTTCCCTAAGTGTCCTGGTCTCAATAAAAGAATTACAGTAGCTTTTTACAAACAGCCATCCGCTGTCAACTGAACTTCTGCTGTAGACTGTATGGCTACGTGGCATGACTTATGTTAGGTTTCTTCTTTTTAAGGTTTCAGCTGTTGATCTCCTCGTACCAGGAATAGGGGAGTTGTGTGGAGGCAGCTTGAGAGAGGAGCGACTGCCCTTCCTCGAATCACGTTTACAGAGGTACGGAAAGCCCACAGGTGCCAGGAGACTAACCTGACCAAGAGTGTTTCAGCAGCTCTCAGTGGTTGGCAAGACAGAGGAGTGGAAGGGCAACTAATGCTATTTAAAAAAAGCCTATTTTTGTCTTTGAGATATGTATTTATCTGAGTAGGTGATTGTAAACTGGTGAAGAAGTTCTTATGCTCCTGTTGTGGGTATACAAGCTGCCTCTCTGTCTTAGCTCATCAGAGAAGCAGAATTTAGTTCATGCTAGGAGACCCGGGCAGCAGAATGCCTCAGCTCTGCTGGGACTGTCTGGAACGGGGTCTGATGTGAGGCACTTCATCCTTGAGCCTTTTCTTGGCAGCTTGTGTGGCTGAGAGGGTATTGCGAAGGTGGAAGTTGTCACGTAGACAGAGCTTAGATGTATTTGTCATCACGTTGTGTAACTGAGGAACTGCAGTTTTGGTCAGAAGCTTTGCTAGCTGTGATGCAGCTGGCCTCAGTGGCATCATTTCAGAGAATATGGTTCACTGGAAGTGTCTGGGACCTGTACTGTTTCATATGGGCTCTTAAAATCTTTCCCTGATGCTTTGTTCTGGATCATGTGACTTTGAGTAATTTGAGGCTAAGTTCAGTGTCGGAATATCAAAGCTGCTGTTTAGTTAACAATAACTGACATTATAGATGGGTTAATTCTCCAAAGACAATTACTCCCTGGATCCTGTCTGATTGTTCAAAAGAACCTTTCATAACTCAGATGAGTCTATTTGGGCCAGTCGTACACTTGTGCAAAGCAATTTGGGAGGAGGATTAATCCCAGAGTAACACCATTTGCACATTGGGAATGAATTTGTTGCTTAAATCAGCCACATGCTTAGAGAGATACATCTACTCAGTGGAGAAATGCAAAATCCATTTCAGCATAATGAATCCAAAAGGCGCAGGGCAATTAAAATCACCAGAACATTGGTTCTCAATTTGTGGTGTAGGATGATATTATTCCCTTTGCTTCCTGCTACTCTCTCTGTGAACTCTCCCAAAGCAGGCATGCTTCAGCTGAAGCAAAATACAATGTTGCCTGCTGTACTTTTTCACTTGGAATTTTTGCCAGTAAGATTTGGAGTCCTCAGCCCTCGAGGTGTGGGGCTGGAGGAGGCGTCCGCGTGGAGGTTGAAAACAGGCTTTCTTGTTTGTCAGGAAAGTCATAAGAAGTATTTCAAGCTACAAACGGGGTGTGGCTTCTGTGACCTTAAAGTACAGCTCTGTATTGAAGATGACCTAGAAAAATAACACCTCTTTTCACATGTATTTCTCAATTTTGAGTACTCGGGATCTGATCTGCTGAGCCCAAATACTTTGTTAAGGCTTTAGAATTCTACTTCCTGCAGATCCAGCATAACTAAGAGAGATAAAGAACGGGATTCTTGTCTCCTTATACACACTTCATACAATAGCTCTCCGAGTCCCAGCCAGGGACAGCTGCAATGCACCGAAGATGAGAGAAGTGGTGTCTCTTTGCCTACAGCATTTTCTGTTCGTGTTCAGAGAAATGGAAATGAAAACAGCAACTTTGCTCTACTTCTGCCAGGGCAGGAAAAGGAGAGAGGGTGGCAGTTAGAAAAAGGTGTATTTTATTTAGTAGTTTTACAGAAGTTGACACACATTATTAGAGCTACGGGAGTTCAGTGGGTTTATGCGCTGCGGAAGGGGAGCCATGTAGCCACACATGCGAAGAGATTTTGACTCAGTCGTAAATGAGGTTGGCTGCCATGTCATTGGAGAGTACAGGCCTGAATATTAAATTTACAAGCGTTCACTGATACGCTTAAAGTTAAGAATACACACAAGTCTCTGCATGAAGCTGGGATCAGCCCTGTATGTTGACAAAACAAACTTTGTGTTTTAAGAAGCACGTTGGGAATCTGTTCAAGATTGTCTACTGATTACCAGAACTGACAGCCGCTGGTCGTCTTCCCTTAATTTTCTGCCTTTTCTTTTTGGACTGAATTTAGTCATCAGACCCTCCCTTTTCTTGTAGCATTGTCTTCCAGGCAAGTGTTGCTTGTGCCGATCTCCTCTGTTCCTTTACTTACAAAGGGTTTTCTTTTTGTTCCACAGATTAGGACTCGCGGATGCCTACCAATGGTAAGACACTGTCTTGTTCTGCAAGCTCTATTTCTTCTTTTGAGACAACTTTTTCATTTTTTTTGATCCTGTTCTTGAGGGAACGTTTCTTGGCCCAGTTGCCCTGCCATCACTGCCAGTCTAAATGGAACAGCCAGTTCATTTAAACAAAGTTCAATCTAACGCGTTGGAAGGGACCTCTGGAGATCATCTAGTCCAACCCTCCTGCCAGAGCAGGGTCACCTACAGCACGTTACACAGGACAGCGTCCAGGCGGGTTTTGAATGTCTCCAGAGTGGGAGACTCCACCACCTCTCTGGGCAGCCTGTTCCAGTGCTCCACTACCCTCAAAGTAAAGAAGTTCCTTCTCATGTTAAGATGGAACTTCCTATGTTCAAGTTTATGCCCATTACCCCTCGTCCTATCACTGGGTGCCACTGAAAAAAGACTACTCCCATCCCCCTGGCATCCTCCCATTAAGTATTTGTATGTATTAATAAGATCCCCCCTCAATCTTCTTTTCTCTAGACTAAAGAGACCCAAGTCCCTCAGCCTTTCCTCATAAGAAAGGTGCTCCAGTCCCCTAATCATCTTTGTTGCCCTTTGCTGGACCCTCTCAAGCAGTTCCCTGTCTTTCTTGAACTGGGGAGCCCAGAACTGGACACAGTACTCCAGATGCGGTCTCACCAGGGCAGAGTAGAGGGGGAGGATGACCTCCCTCGACCTGCTGGCCACACTCTTCTTGATGCACCCCAGGATGCCATTCGCCTTCTTGGCCGCCAGGGCACATTGCTGGCTCATGGTCATTTAAACAAAGTTCAATCTAACGCTACTAAGTTTGTCGTTCCAATTTGTAAACTCACAGCACAAGTTATTCCTTTCAGGATTGCATGAAGTGGATTAATTTACAACCTATCAGTGAGTTTTGATATTAAATCATTAAGCTGTGTTCCGTGTTGAATAGATTCTGACCGCCATCGCATGAGATAAACAGGTTACAGAACCACAAGCAATTTGTGACCTTTAACAGCTCTATGAATAACTCCCTTTGCAATTGACAGGGCAATTGGGTCGAAAAATCTTCCCTAACAAAGCGGTTGAAGCAATTAAAACTGTCCTGCTATGGAGACAGAACAACCTTTGAATTAATGGTTCACCCTATTAAAACGACAGAAGATCTTAGTGTTCCTCTTGACAAGTGTTTCTTGGTATGTACTTTGTCATAGCTACTGAAAGGGTGATAGTGCAGAGAATTTTAAATTTAGAAGAGTATATTCAAATACTCTGCAGTCTTTGGAATGATCATTAGGGAGGCTGCCTTGAAAAAAAAGGCAGAGTAAGCGTAGGATTCTTCACTCTCCTCTTCCTACAAAACAAAATCACTTAGGAACAGCCCTGTGCATGGCAGACCTTTACATCATCCATTTGCAAACGGTGAATAAAATGCCTTCCTTTCTTGTTTGAGTTTATGGGCCAGAATACACCCTATCACTTCATCTGGGGAAAGGATTATCCTGACCAAGGATGACCAGTTGTGTGGTCAGATGCTGAGATGTAGCCTGAGGAAGTCTGGTGTTCAGTGGCAGAGCCTTCCAGCACTACTAAGATAGTAGTACTCTTAGCAAGCCTTGCCTCATGCTTGCCTCAAAAGAGAAGATTAAGACGTTGCCCGTCACCCATTTGCATTTGCATGTCATATGTAGCAATCCCATTCTGGAAATTCTTTCCTCTTGTGATCTGGTTTTGGAGACTCTTTCCTCCTCTGTTTCCTCCACTCCATCACAGATGATGTAACTTTGCAGAGAAGATTAAAACTGTTGTTACCCCCTGCCATAGCAGGGTCTGGTGTCTTAGGAAGGTGCAGGATAGGAGTAACCCTGGATGTTTCTGGACTGCAGTCCAGAATCTTCCAGAAAACAGGTAGGGGGTTTGCCAGCATCTATCTTTTCAGCAGAGGTGGCAGGAGAGACTAAGATTAATCTCCTTCAATTTAGTGATTGGATTTAGTCTCCAATGCTGGCTCACAGTCTCCTTGAAGAACAGCTGAGTCATTCCTTTTTAAATATAATATTTGCTGACTTCAGAATGGGCAGCTGTATGAGATGTGGTCCCTCTTGAATTCACTTATATATTGCCATATCTCTGTTTCTACCTGTTTTCTTCTCCCACTAAGCGTGAGGATACTGTGGGAGCTCAACTACCTCTCCTGCTTCTCTGCGGGAGAATCATTGGGCAAAGAGGCAACTGGTGATCTGAAATACTGTTGTGCTTTTTCCCATTCCTACCTTTTAGAAAGCTTTTTTTTTTTAAAAAAAAAAAGTAAATAAAGGGACATAGCCAAAGTCCTCTGAGTCGTCTTCAGTTCGCTACATCTTTCCTGTTGTGCAGGTTTCTTTCCATGAAGAATATGAGTTGCAAAAGTATTTGGTTTGATTTTGCAGAGTTATTTTATCTTATTTTCACACTCCTTCCTTTGAACTGTAGATAGAAAAGAGTTCAGTGCTGTAGATGCTGATCTTGGCTAGACTTGAATCGGTCTGTGGAAGCGAGGTGGGAAAGTCAGGTGAACAGAATTTACTCTGGGAAATCACTTGTTTTCTCTGTGACCAGAGAGCATTGAGTATATCGCCTTGTAAGTGGGAGTCCTGATCCTGTTTGCAGCCTCCAGGTGTCAGCTTAGCACGAGCAATAACAAAGCAGGTACTTTGTAATTAACATGTCCCCACTACCGTCAGCTTGAGCAGTGTGCTGGTTTTGCCTGGGGTAGAGATAATATTCTTCATAGTATCTCATATGGGACTATGTTTTGGATTTGTGCTGGAAACAGTGTTGATAACACAGGGGTGTTTTCCTTATTGCTGAGCAGCGCTTACACAGAGGCACGGCCTCTTCTGCTCCTCACACCGCCCCACCAGCGAGTAGGATGGGGGGAGACAAGAATTTGGGAGGGGTCTCAGCCGGGACAACTGACCCCAACTGACCCAAGGGATATTCCATAACATATGATGTCATGCTCAGTATATAAAGCTGGAGAAAGAAGGAGGAAGCAGGGGGACGTTTGGAGTGATGGCACTTGTCTTCCCAAGTAACCGTTAGGCGTGATGGAGCCCTGCTTTCCTGGAGATGGCTGAACACCTCCTGCCGATGGGAAGCAGTGAATGAATTCCTTGTTTTGCTTTACTTGTGGGCACGGCTTTTGCTTTACTTGTTCAACCATCCTTATCTCAACCCACGAGTTTTCTCACTTTTACTCTTCTGATTCTCTCCCCCATCCCACCGGGGGGCAGTGAGCGAGCGGCTGCGTGGTGCTTGGTTACCAACTGGGGTTAAACCGCGACAAGCAGCATTTCAGACAGTATTCTACACCTACGGCACTCATTTCCTCGCTCTGATTATCATTGTGCACATCAATGGAGAAGATGGCCTCATACCAAACCCTTTACCGTCCAGGTACCTTTCTCATCTTCTGGTGTAACACTGGTGAAAGTACAGTGGCACAGCTGGTGTTATCTGCTGTCTTAGAATGGACACTACTGTGTTGTCTTGGCATTGCATCTGCTCTAGATGGAGAAGATTGAGCTGTGTTGGGCTCTTTAATTTCTAATTTTCTTTGAAGCTTGAATGCTGGAGTGTTCTGTTGGGTCCCTGTCTGGTGAGGTGGAGAGGAGGAGTTGGACTTAAGGAACAGCAGTGCTGGTGAGCCACTTGCAATCCACAGCTAGTGACAGCATTCGTATCATCCTTTAACATCCTTCAGAGCCCAGTGAAAACAGGTAGCCCATCACCGTCCTTGGCAGGTGCCTGGTCCTGTTTACTTCTGCTTTGGGGAGACACCAGAGCGCTGTGCTGGGCCATACGGAGGCAGGCAGAAAGTCGGTGCTAAAGGCAGCTAAAACATGCCCAAACCCCACTTGTGTCAGTAGGAATGATTTAGATTGATCTCCTTGAATGCTTTTTTTTGTGGATTTCTGAAAAGTTGTAGCAGAGCAGAAGCTGTCTGAAACCCAAGACAGCATTTTACCCAGCATCAGAACCTGGCGATACTTTACATGTTTATTTCCTGAAATGTTCAACAAAACGTTTTTTCAAATGTCATTTCACTAGTAGTTTTTCTTTACCTCATTTTTTTTCCTTTTTTTTCCCAGTAGAATATTCAACTTCATAGACTGCAATATCTTTATTCTTTCAGCCTTACTTTTTTCAAACCAGCTGCAGAGGCTTCAGTGTAACAAGAGGGTTACATGAAAGATCAAGATTATATTTGTTTTGAAAGGAGACCGAAAAGAATACATTCTGCTTATGAATGGTCACTGAGAGAGCGCTGATCTTCATAGTGCCTTGCCGTGCAGCACAGGAGCTCGTGATGATGATAAAAGGCTATAGATTTTTAAAAGGATAAAAGGAAATGCTTTTCTAACTTGGCACATAACAAGCTCCTGGAATTCATTGCCGGGAGATGTTGTTGCGGCACATACTTTAGTAAGATTCAAATCTCTGAAGAGAGTTCTCCAAGTCCAGAACGTGAACTCTGGGGCTAGCTGGGGTAGCAGAAACTTATTTCCCCAGTGGAATAATGTTGCACAGTCCCCCAGTTGCCCATGGAGGGCTCAGCTCTCCTCTTAAGTATGAGCTACTAGGAAAAACAGCTGGACTAGTCCATGACTGGTTTTGAGGTGAGAAACATCCAATGTCTGGAGACTACTGAATGAAGGAAAACCTCAGGGAGCATTTTCCTGCATAAAGGGAATTTTCTCTTCATCTGCAGGCAGTTACTTTTTCTTTCATCTGGGAAGAATGGAAAATTTCTCAGTTCCTTTGCTGCTTCTAAGCACGGTCATCAGAAAGGATTCACAGGCTTGATCCTCAGCACGTTTAATTCAATGGACTTTTTCCATTAACTTTAATGGGTTTTGTTTCGCTCCTTTTGCCAAAATGGCTTCTTAAAGTGCTTTGAGATCTACAGATGAAAGCCCTGGATAAGCAAGGGTAGAATTTATTATTATTGTTCATCTGGAAGAAGCAGAGTTATTGCATCTCCTTACAATGACTTTATAAACTCTGTTGCCAGCAAAAGGGGAGAAAAGATGCGAGGCTTAGTCTCAGCTGTCTGCACAGCCTGAGATACACTTATAGATGTCATCAGAAACATTTGTGCTGTTTTTTATATTACTAGTTGCAGCTAGAGTTGTCACCAACTGGTTTGCCAGTTCTGCTCAGAACTACTGAGCTGGTACAGATTGATCTGCCACGGGCAGCACCCACATCCCTCACATTTACGAGATCTTTCCTATTTCACAAGTCACCGCCCTCAACATCAGATCTGCCCATCATCTGCCTTGCAAACCCTTGAAAAGCTGCCAAGTGGAGCTCCCCGGGGGCAATTCCCAGTGTATTAGTGGAAATTCAAGTTCTTAATGCCGTCTGTATGGAGTGGATGGAGATGAAGACCATTGTGCTGTTGCACAGCCTGCGTGTTCATATCCTAAGCATAATCGTCGTGACAAGGTGTGGGGCAGATGCAGCTGAGCCTTAGCAAGCCAAGCTAACGCCCGGCGGTGCAGATAGAAAGCACGGGGGTCCCAGGGGGGCAGAAAAAGTTTGTCCCACTCTCGAGCTTGCTGTTCAACTCACAGTATAGGCGAAAGTGCACTTTGTGTGTCAGTGCCAGTAGGAAGAGGTAAGAAGTTCTGTGATTCTATGAAAGTTCTGCTTCTGGTTTTACTCCTTGGGCAGTGTAGTCGAGGGGGGGGAAAACCCTGAGGATTGGGTTGAGTGTAATAAATGGCTTCCCGAATTTTAACTCCTGTTAATGAACTGCAAGGGAAAATAACATTTCATAGTATAAAAGGCATACTGTCAAACTGAGTCTGCCGAGGCGATCTCTTGCGGCTGTGGAAATTGTTGGAGAATATTTCTCTTTTGCAAGGAGAGGTGATCAGTGGCATTACTTTGGCTTCACTGTGTTAAAACGTAGTCTTCTCAAGCCAACAAAATTCTGAGGCACGTGGTACTCCAAGCAAGTACATTTGAATATATATTTAAGAAAGTACACTTAAATATAGATATACAATGTCTGTTCTACATAGAAAAATATGTACATAAACATATATAAATACATAAAAACACGCACACTATAAAATAACACTTTTTCCTTGCAGTTCATTAACAGTAGTTAAAATTTGGGAAGCCATTTATTACAATCAATCTTAATTTTTTTTCACTGTGCTTTTTCCCCTCCACTCAACTGCCTAAGTAGTAAAACGTAAATATATATTTATATTTAAGTGTACTTGATTTTTTTTTTTTTAAACTGGAATGATAAAATATTTATACACGAAAATTAGAGGCACGTAATACATCTGGAGTCACTCAATCCCTTACTAGCGCATTCATACAAAGAAGAATAACTTTGTGGCCTCAGCAAGCTCAGAAGTGGCCCCATAAATCAATAGAACCACTGAGATGTTTTTCGCTCTTATTAAAATAAAACTGTCGGTGACAATTTATAGCTGTAAATATAGTTCCTGTGTATCACATCAGCTACAGTCCAGCTGGGAAATGGAGAACTCTAAAGAAGAACCATCATAACCTTGTTGACACCCGTATATTTGGAATATCTGTTTCCAAACATTATCTGAGTTTTCTGTGCACAACAGGTTCTGTTCTCCCAAATGAAATGTCTTGTTCCAGATCTCATTTTTGGAGAAGATATGTCCAAGATTTTTTGCTGACTGACTGTGGAAATAAATGAATCGGTCTTTAAGAGTGATTGGGGGGAAAAAAAGTAACAAAAGGGCAGCATAATTACCTTAAAAGGAAAAAAAAAAACCACCCTAAACCCGAAAGAATATTCAGCAGACAGCGAGACCTATTTGGGCTTCTGAAGAAATTACTGGAAATGAAATCACACAGACTATTGAAAAGAATACAGAAAATGAAAGTATTTATTAGAGGGCAGATTTCAGCAGCAGCACGGCAAAGGCTAAATGCACCCAAGCAGGCAGCTCCCATCTCCGACAGCGGAAATGTGTTGTGATTCTGTAGGAACCTGGGGTTGTGCCTCTGCTGGGAATATTTTAGATACTCAAATTTACAAAGATGCTGTCAATATGAGCAGAGCCACGATGTTAACGCTGTTCTGGGTACCCAAATGAGTTCTCACTCCTAAACAAAACAGGCTGTAGCGTATTGGCGCAGCGTAGCTATGCTGGTTTAAACGCGTTTACACTCGGGGTTTCTGCTAAAATAACTCTGCCCGTCGGGGAGCCGCACGTCTTCACACCCCTGACCAACGCCGGCTGTGTTGGCAGAACTCCACAGTGGTTAGGGTCAAAGGGAAGTGATTAAGATGGAAAGCAAAACCCTAGATAAAACGCTCTCTGTAATTACATCAGCATAACCGTGCTGCAAATGTAACTGTCTGTTTAAATTACAGGTATCTAGACCTCCGAAAATTCGGCTCAGTTCCTCATGGAGGCTTCGGAATGGGGTTTGAACGCTACCTGCAGTACATCTTGGGAGTTGACAATATCAAAGACGTTATTCCTTTCCCCAGGTTTTCTCACTCCTGTCTCTTGTAGCTCAGCCGTTGGCTCGTGGAGAAAACTGGTGTGACGATATGTATATGACATATTAGGACATTATTAAGTGCGTTTTGGTAGGAAATCGAGCTAGTTTTTATATCAGTGAAACTCTTGGTAAATTTAATACTGGCTTATTGAAAATAATATATGTTCTGGTGAGATTATGGAAGCACACTTGCAGTTAATTTGATAGCAGTTCATGTCTTCAGCGCGCTTCAGGAGTGTTAATAAATCCCACTTAACTTAAGGGTTAAGATTCTCGTGAGACAAGTACAAGCCATTGAAGTACTGAATAAGTGTTGTTGGGAGGTGGTGGGGGTTTTATGTGAAATATTAATAAGGAGGTGTGACCTAAAATGGACTGGGAGCCAGGACTGCTGTGGGGCTTTAATAAGCTTTAATTAAATGCCCGCACGGTGCTTTGAAGATTGAGCGGTATAAAATTGTGAAGTATTGTTATGGCGGTGATGAACTTGCCCTTACGAAATGGCTACTGTAAAGCGTGATTCTCCCCACCCCGAGTTAAAAGCGAATGGTGTTTACCTTGGAAAAATCAGCCAGACCTAGCAGGGAAAAATGTCATATTGGAACTGCCGGAGTGAGTGAGATGCTTTTGATGAATTTGATTTTGTGAATCATCAATAAAGATGTACACTGGGTTGTTTTGTAACTCTGTATGGTTTCTTCTTCTGTTATAAAACCGTAGCACTCAGCACCGGAGTGTTTCCTTCAGTGTCTTTGGTAGATGTTTCCTTTTCTGTGTACCCAAATTAGTTGCGCAATTTCTGCAGGAGGTAGCTGTTTTCTGTCTCCAAGAGAGCACATGTTCACAGCAGAGAGAAATGTTCAGTTAGAGGAGAATTCATTCATCTCTCCGGAGCCAACTTGCTGTTTATTGGTGGGTTTTTTTCTTGGTGTTTTGCTTTTTTGTTGTTGTTACTGAGAAAATCTCTCACGTCCTCATCGGACCAAGCAGTTTTGTCTATATTTTGAAACAACCAACATATACTCCCAAGCATTTAGTATGTATTAATTGCTTATCACTATAGGATCTGAACTCCTTGCAGTAATGGGTTTATGCTCTCAGCTTCCTTGCCAGGTAAAGAAATATTCATTTCTGTTTTGAAGACGGGATTAAGGGCAGATCAAGTGACTTGCCCAAGGCAATTGGAAACCAGTGGTTTATTTGGGACTTGAGCTGAGAGTTTCCAGCATCCTTCTTCCCTTCCAAATTATCGCAATCCACCAAATGGTCATTTGCATAGTGCTTACGACTCTGGAGCCCAAGACAGCTGCAGTGTAAACAATATATATAAAGAGAAAAAGCAAGGTAACAGCCTTATTGCTAATGAACCCCGTGTAAATTGCCACATACGACGTGAAGTGGCTGCAGAACAGCCCTGAAGACTTCTTTTCCAAGCAGATGAAAGAGATTGAAAAATAGTAATCAAACAGCATTGCGCTGGTAATATTGCAGGCACAGTTCTCTCTGGTAGGGCTGTATAATGCTGCACCTGGAGTGTCTAAAAATATATATTTATGTCATGTGGCACCTGCCATGTTTCAGTTTGGTCCACGGTTGTGACTCTTACGTGTTACGATCATGCAAACAACATCACCACAAGGTCATTGCTTTGGGGTGTTTGTTGCATGCACTGAGACATCCCCTGCATATCAAGATTTTTTTCATATCTCCTTCATCTGTTTGATTAGGCAGGTGTTAACTGTGCATTTGCTGGTTTGTGTTTCCTGGTACAGCCTGAGCTGGTAAGTCTGGTTCCATGAAACGGTTCAAGCAGCTGCCTTCCTTTTGAAACCACTGAGAATCATAGAATGGTTTGGGTTGGAAGGGACCTTGAAGATCATCGAGTCCCACCCCCCCTGCCATGGGCAGGGACCCCTCCCACCAGACCAGGTTGCTCAGAGCCCCGTCCAACCTGGCCTTGAACGCCTCCAGGGATGGGGCAGCCACAGCTTCTCGGGGCAACCTGGGCCAGGGGCTCACCACCCTCACAGTGAAAAATTTCTTCCTAATATCTAATCTGAATCTGCCCTCTTCCAGTTTGACGCAATTCCCCCTCGTCCTGTCACTACACACCCTTGTAAAAAGTCCTTCCCCCCTCTCCTGTAGGTCCCCTTTAGGTACTGGAAGGCCACAATAAGGGCTTCCCGGGGTCTTCTCTTCTCCAGGCTGAACAACCCCAACTCTCTCAGCCTCTCCTCATAGGAGAGGTGCTCCAGCCCTTGGATCATCCTCGTGGCTCTCCTCTGGACACACTCCAGCAGGTCCATGTCTTTGCTATGTCGGGGGCTCCAGAGCAGGACACAGTACTCCAGGTGGGGTCTCACCAGAGCAGAGTAGAGGGGCAGAATCACCTCCCTTGAGCTGCTGAAGATCCTACATCGGACACCCAAAGGTCTTCTTGCATTTGGAGCATCTCTCCATTTAATGCCTTGTCTTAAATGTATTGCTGGCCTTTATGTTTTGGAACTACTTCTCTAAGCAGAAAGATGTGGAAAGAGTACAGCTGCCAAACAGCCCCATCCATCTCATGTTCCTAAATAACTTACGATGAGCTGGTGTCTTCATTGAGACCCTTAGTCACCGGTTCTGTCACAGTTGCCGTAAATGACAGTGCTGGAACTGGAAGCCCATCTGCTGAAAACTGAGTGGGTAGGTGACAAAACCATCTCCCGTCCACTCCGTTCTCATCCCCGCAGCAGCACTGGGCTGGCTGCCTCAGGTTTGGCGTCCGCGGGAGGTGGTTGATCCCACTGGGAGATGCCAGTTGCGATGGGCAGGGTGGGGCTGAACAGTGACAGGGGAAAAAAAAAGGTGTAGAGAAGAAGACAATAGAAGGTGCCAAAAAGTCATAGGATGATGTGGCGTGAGTCACAAGTTACAGGGAAGGGTAGCAGGACCGTTTCAAACAGGCTTGCAGAGTGACTGTCACGTCCTTAGTTGAGGTGACAGCTTGCAAGAACCAAGGACTGGTATGACCCACCCTTCATTCTTTGCCTTGATTGTTGCAGGACAGAAGGAAAAGGTTGAACTTTTGATTTATAGATAGGTAGGTATATGAAGGAACGTCAAAGGTTTTGGGGTTTTAGTTTTGTTTTGGGTTTGGTTTGGGTTTGTTTTTTTCTGGTTGCAACCATTGCAAAAAGGCAGGTTTTTAAGGAAGATGTAGTAAGAATGCACCATAAGGGATTCTGGGTGCGTTTCTGACTACGCGTCCAAGAGGTGCGGTCTCCCCAGTCTTCTACGTGTGTTTCTATTCCATTCAAATGTACTTGCTGAGTTGGAGATCTGGTGGGCAGGGCTGAGCTAAGGGGGCATTGCCCTTGGATCTAAAAGCTCATCTGAAAAACAACCCCAGTAATCTGGCAGAATAAGTGGGAGAGCAGGGTTGTTCCCAACAGAAGTAACCAGATGAACGTTCAAGCTCGGAAGGAAGAAGAAAGGGTTGTCCAGTCTTGGAAATGGCCTTCAGCACGCCTTGTTTATCCCAGCGGTGGGAGAGAGGAGAAGGTGGAGACTGAGGCCCATGTGCATGATGATACCGCTTAGGGTTAATACCAAGATTGGCATTCTTGCGAGAAGTTTGATTTATGGGAACCCAGCAAGGGTGGGAGCCGCTCTTTGCCTCCAGGCTGGCATTGTTCACCTTGTGCGATGTATATATAACGTCGGCTGGTATTGCCAAGGAATGCGACGTGTTTTCCCTGGGATTTCCATGTGGAATGTCATGTATTTCCTTCGAATCTCCTCTCCCAGAATGAAACGGAAGTTAATCTGGAGGACGGGGGAGGTCGTTCCTCTTCAACGTGTAGGCTGAGAATTTCTTCGATTTAAGCCGTTTTCTTTGCTACACCTTCGCTTAGAGACTGCGCTCTGGCGATGGCTGAAGCCGGATAAAAACTCTGACACTTCTTCAAATAAAAAACTATTATTCTTTGCACACAGGAATCATACCTTAGCCTGAACGTGCAGCGCGGTAGCTTACATGGGGCTGTTTCCAGTGCGGTGGTGAGCGCTCAGCTCTCAAGCCCAGGTGAGCAGCACGGGCTCCGCTAGCATCCTTTCGGTAAGTATTTCTTGAAGTTTCAGTTCCTCGGCAGTTAGCACTGCCTCTTGTCAGGTTTTTCCTCACTTTGAGCTTCAGAAGAAAGAATCAGTGTCGTTGATGACTGCGTCTGTGGCTTTGCGACATGAGGACGGAGGGATGGGAGAGCGACACCGCTGGGGATAAAAGAGCGGTGCCATAAACTTTGCATAACCAAATGCCAGCCACTCGGACGAGCCTTTAGAGGAAAACCTTTGTTTTCGCTTCAAGAATATCAGATAATCCCTTTCCTTAAGATTTTTATGCGCAGGATCAAAGCATCCCGAAGTCCTCTTTTTAATTTAAAAAATAATCCCTGCGGAACCACCACCACGTCTCAGCCTTTTTGGTTTTAAATCCAAAGGAGAGCAAATGCATGCTCTGAAGCGAGTAGGAGAGATCGCTCTTCTCCCCCTTATGATTTATGTGGGGATACCGTGGCAGTGACTAGATCTTGGACTGTAGCTTCTGTCCAAGCAGAGACAAAAAGATACGTCGCTGGGCCAAGTGTTTAAAAGCCAGCAGAGCAGCGCAGGGATTTTAACCGAATTTACCTGTATTCGGGCCCCCAGAGCCGAGGGAAAAGCAGCCCAGTGCCCAGCTCAGCAGTCCTCTCTCCGGTTTATTTGGTAGTAGTTGTAATTTATAAAGCATCACTTGTTTGAGGGAATGCCAAGGCTTTGATGGGAAATGTAACGTACAATTTTGCTTGCTGGCCCGATATTGATTGTTTTCGAAATAGCTTATAGATGTGTTTTTCTTCAAGGGGGGAGAGGGAGACTAATTTGCCAAGAAACACTTTTGTCATTGTTTCCATTAAATGCGTGTATAGAGATAAATGTGGCTTTGCTGCTGCTGAAACCAGTAACAGTCGTTATTATTGTTGGTTGAGCCTCTGCCTTACGCTTAGGGAGAATTGGGAGATGGGTCCAAAGGAGAAATAAGAAAGACTTTGTATAAAGATTGTCAAAGTCCTAATTTCCTCAGATCTAACCAAAACTGCCAAAGCTACAAAAATAGTGGTCTCGGGGGGGAATTTATTGTTTTGTCTTACTGCTTGTTGCAGCGCCGTGACCTTCGGAAGGATTGTAAAGTTTTATTTTATGATCCTGCTGGTAAAGAGACATATGTAATTTACTATAGGAGTTCTTGCAGACTTGGCTAACAACAAGTTTGACCCGGAGTTCAAAGAAATTATGGCTCCTGTTGTTTTATTGCTGCTGTGAAATGTATTATTATCTGTCCTCCAGCAGTGCCTCGGGGGCTGCCGCACAAGGTGTTCAGCAAAGATGCTGTAAAGGGA